TGAAACTGCCTCCCATCATTGTAAACCAGTCTAGTAAGCTTCCCCCTACGTTATCGATTAGGTTTAAGTCCGGGGATAGCGCAGGCCACGGTAGAACAGCAAAATCTTGGTCGTCAAACCACGTCTTCGTATGGTCGATTTATAGATGGAGCAGTTATCTTGCTGAAAGAAGCATGCTCGTGGATGATTCTGGGCTATAAACGGTAGTAGATGCGATTCCAGTGTCTGTACGTATTTGACGCTGTTTTGCTTGCCAGTAAGTATGGCTAACTTTGCTTTCCCACGCGATGAAAATGCCCCCCATACCATCACAGAACCACCTCCAGAGTGATGCTTCGAATAGACTTGTTCTTCCGTCCGTAGGTCGTGCCAGTAATACTGAAACCCGTCAGGTCCATCCAGATTAAACTTCTTTTCATCACTAAACACGACACCTTCATGTTTCCGTCCATCTTGCTCGCGGCATCGCCCACTCCACAATGTTGTGTGCTTTTGAAAGCGGCGGTTTATGCTGCCGCTTCTTATGCTTCAGTGTAGAGTTAGCGTGAAGAATCCCCCTACCCCGCCTTGGCTTTATGGGCAAGTCAAGCTTCTTTTGCAGCTGTATGGAGCTGTATTTACCCGTGTGAGCGGTTCGCAGTAGACGACGTGAAGCTTGAGGTGCCCGTTTAGGAGTCCTTCCTGAGCGTCGTATCGAGTTGTATTCCACAGGGTTGCGTAAGAATTGGTATACACCAGTTTTAGAACGGTTTAAGCGCTTAGCGATGTCTTGGAGGCCCCATCCATTGTCCCGAAGAGCCAGCATTTGGCTCTGCTCATGGTCCGAGAATGTATTGCCCCGTCGCATGGCCACACGTGCTCGTATAACTTGCCAATGCCTTGCCTAACCCAACTATATTTATACATAACACAGATATAAAACAAACGCCAAACCCACGCTCTAGTGCCTTAAAAAAAAACGCATTGTACGCCTTCATCTGTATACATTTTGCCGGGCTGGTTTGACGATATTTTCTGTAGCTTGGCGAGTACGGCTCCGATTGAAGAATGGCGACCACCATTCAATTCCAAATGCTAAGCAGCGTTGATTGGCCTATTTTCAGTCCAATCCGAACTCTCTATTCGACGAAAAGCAAAAAAAAATGTACCGTTTGTATAATTATTGCCCGCACTGTACGCACTCTCATGAGTCTATTCGATGCCCTTTTATGTGCATAATGTATTTTTAATATCATATTTTCTGTTCGTTTTAAAACGCATAACCACGAAATCATCTGACTAAAAACGTTTTTTTCACGTTAGTTTTTTATACTCTTCGAAGTGTACCAGCAACATCACGCATGTATTGCTGTTGAACATGACAACCCCAGAGATGCGAGCGAATTTCTTCGACTTCAAAACGACGGGGCAAAATCAAAATTTTCCGTTTAGCAATTTGTTTTCGCTTGAAAACCAAACATGCCAGCGACACTTTTTACTCCACGATTCGACATCGCAATACGTAAAATGCGAAGGAGTAAATTCTCAAGCTGACGGATTAAAAAGTAATAAATAAAAAGCAAAAAAAAAGAAAGTGTCAAGTGGTTGGCAAAACCTGTTTAATCTTACCCGTAGGTTTGTATTACCGTCTATCTAACTCAAAACTCTGCCTTTTCTCGCTTGGTCAGCTCTTCACCCAGTGTACGCCGTTGTTAAAATGCCCACTGTGACGAAAGGAAAATCAGTGGAGTGAATGAAGCCCAGAACAGCACGTCAAGATATCCCCAACCGGTGACCCGTCCGCGTGCACGTCGAGAGGTAGGTTGCGGATCACTACGGAAGAAGAGCACCATCCAGATCGAGAACATGACCACGAAAGCTAAGATCGGGTACAACACCATAGGCGGTGGTGGCTGCGTGAACAGCACCCCATTAGCCGAGAACTTGACCCACACCAACACCTCAAACGTAGCGATCGACAAAATCATCCACGAATTCTGACCCAAACGCCAACATTCGGGATTGGTAATGAACTCGTAATACTGCGATAATAACAAATTAGGTAAAAAAAAATCATTTCCATAAAAAAATAAAAATAAGAATCTTACCTCAGCAGCAGCGGGAATTCCAAGTAGGAACACGAGAAGTAGACGATATGAGTTGAAATTGCTCTCCTTCGGGATGCTAAGCGTAGTTAGCATGAAGAAGGCGTTCAGCTCCGTAAGCAGACATATCACTATAGCAAAAAAGATTTCTGCGAAGCGCTTGAAGCTGGAGAAGACTTCCCAGTGATACTGTTCCCAACTGAAAGGCGTGAACTGGTTAAGTGCCAAGCGGAAGTATCCCATCTTCTTGCCTCGACGACCGGACCAATCGTACACCTTTGATTCCAGCAGCCACAGCGTCACACGACCAAGACACATCCCCAGCATGTTGGCACCTAGCAAGTCCAGGAGAAGAGAGTCCCACCAACACTCCTGGAAGTCCGGGATGACGAATTGCAGTGCGAGTTCCAAGATTTCAAAGGCGATACTAAGCACCCAGCAGAGTCGCCAGTCACGGAACATACACATCTTGCCCCACCAGCCCGTAACATGCGCTAGAAACCAGATACTCGTGACTCCGCGCGTCAGGGACTAATAAAATCCACATCACCGTTAGCTATGACTTATTAAAACCCAAATATTCTACGCACCTCTGGGTTAATTTCGCACTGCAGCTGCGCTGGGATTGTTGTTTTGGGACGACTACCGACTTCGGGGAACAAGTACTGCATTCCTGTCATAGCGCTCTTTCGGTTCTGTACGAGCATGGCGGCCAGCAGCAGTAAATACACGACTGAGCAGCCATGTACTACACGCCATACGCCTGGATGGGGGCGCATCATGAGTCCGTCCCTTGTTTGTAGGAAGCAGTAGACCAGGAAGATCAAAATGGCGGCAAACAACGCGTTGCGCACGTTCTGCACGGGATCCTGCGAGTCATGAGTAAACGAATAGTACGAGAAACCCGCTACTACGAGGAGAAGCACGAAGATCTGGCGCGGCTGCTCCGGGAACAACAACAATCCCTCCACTTCACTGCCGTGCGTGGCGCGGAAAGTGTTGTACGACCAGCTCTCGGGTCGCGGACTCGAGCGCTGCGAGCCTGGGGAGGTACTAACTGGCCCGTCGACTACGTCCTGCGTGTCCAACGCGGACATGTTCTTGCCCTTACGCTGGCGTAGGGAGCTCATCACCGCTCGATTAGCGCGGATCGGATTGTCGCTTGGCAGCTTTGTATGACATGCCGCATAGAAGCGTTTAATCAGAGTAAAACCGAATTTGATTGGGTGAAAAATAATGTTGAAATGAAACTATGGTATTGGTGAAAAAGAGAGTATTAGCAGCTTTTTTCCACCAATCGTATCGATTCAAAACTCTTGTTGAAGTGAAAAGGAAACTTGATGCTCGAAGAATTCAATGACACGCGATTTATTACAGAACGACATGAGTTTGCTGCTAGAGTTCTTCAAGCTCTAGCTTCCCTTAAAGCAATTTGATGGGCACCACTGGTGCGTTGGTTGACATAGACTGCCGACATTACGCAGACGGCGACTCGCTCTTCATCGAGACTTCATCATTGCCCTCGTTAGCATCACTGCATTCTTGGACGAGGGTGGCATCCATAGGAGTGTCCTCCATAGCAACTTCCACGGAATCAGTGACCAAGGCCTCCTTAACGGGCTTGCTCTCGCTTGTATCCTGACTGGATTTGCCCTCATCAGACTTGCCCTCGCTGGGAACGCCACCATCGTTAGACTCACGAGGCTCATCCTTAATTTGGGCGTCCACCTCTACGCCGTCCACTCTGACATTGTCTTCGCTAGATTCCACAGAGCCCTTGGCGGTCTCTTGGCCGACTTTCTTGGACCTTTTGGACTTGGATTTGGTAGTTCCCCGTGGACTGCACAACGTCAGCAGATCGTATGCAGCCTGCAGTGATTCTCCGTCCAGCCTCACGGGTTCACTGTCCGAGTCGGAGTCTTTGGATGCAGGATCGCTGTCGCTGCTGTGACCTCTGCCAGAATAGCGTTTGAGCTTGGACAGGTTTAAATAAATGATAGGAAACACCTTCTGCTTCTTCGCTCTGGGAGTTGACGATGGAGAGCGGCCCCTAGCTGGACTTGGTGGTGACGATACCGAGTCGTCATCGTCATCACATTCCCGTCGCATGGTCAAGTTGCGAGTACTCGATAGCGTGAGGAACGAGGGCTTCCTCATGCGTGCCTCGGTCCACATTGCTTTGGTGAGTCTTTGGAGCTCTGCAACCCGACTTGCCGCCTCGACCGAGTCCCAGAGAGATTTTTTACGTAGTTTAAACTTCTTTTGACCATAGTTCTTGGGCACCTGCTTGCCGTCAATAGTACCAGCGCAGAGCTTCTTGGACACCCGCATGGGGTCACATTGTAGCTGCACGGCCAAGTAGCCACGCAGTCGGATACCTGTGTAGATTGGAAGGTATCCTTCTTCAAAGGCCTCGATCAAGAGACGAGCAAGTCTCTCCTCGGTGCTGGTCCATTGACCCTTCCGAAGGAAATCGCTACTGGCCTTGCGTTTGGTGGCCGTGGGGGTTATGAACGACGTCAGCTCGTCATCTACGTCCAGTCTTTTCCTCTTACCCGTGGCGCGTATAGGTGACGGCGACGGTGTATCCTGGGTAGGATTCTGCTTCTCCTTTTCCAGCTTCGACTTGGGCGGGTCGTTAGTGGGAGTTGAAGGGCTCGCTGGGGCCTCCGTAAGGCATGAGGAAGTGTCAGAGACTTTGTCAATCTTAGAAGAATTACTGGAGGGCGATGGGAGGATCGTGACGGTCGAATTCGCCTTGGGTTTGGACACCGGCATTGGTTCCGGCACTGGTTGTTGCAGTTCGTCTGATGGATAATTGTAGAGCGAGGACGCCGATGCCGTGAAGCACAGCGAGCTCAGTGCGTCCATGATGCACAGAGACGATGGAGGAGACCTGCGAGACGCTGGGGAACACGCACCAGCGCGTCTGTAGACGGCGAGGAGCTGTTGGCGCGAGACGTCGAGGGGGGAATGAGGAAGTGGAACTTCGAAGTCCCTGTAAACCTCTTGCCTTGCGTGTTGCCTGCAGGAACGCATGTGGATGCTGACGAGTTACATATGAAAAGAGACGTCTGTAGTTGTATTTACTGTAAAACCTAATAGAATCGAGGAGATATTGCCTTGACACAGCAACTTTCAGCACCATCACTCTTGATCTCAACTTCATTGTCCTCTCGTTAAGAATTTTGTCATGCAATAACTGCCATATATCATAACATGGAGTCATTAATGTAAGCATAACTATTAGAAAGTGGTGTTTATGGCTACACCTTCGACCTTAAAATAAGTGTATAACTAAAGATAGATGCCCAATTCATCGTACCTAGGCATCGGTACCGAGTACCAGCGAGCCATTCAAACTGTACCAATCCTGGACAACACTGACAAAGAACTAGCTCGGACGTTATGACGGACAAGGCTGTCGGCGCTGCGGGCTCCCCCACCTCGGCAGCGTCCTTCGCGCCCCCTGTCATGCGTGACCCAGCTCCGCAAGTGTCCTCTGAAGCTGTGGACGTCTCGACAACGCCTGCTGTTGCGCCCAGACAACAGCAATCGCCCAAATCTGCCAGCGGGTCCGGATCCCGTAAACGTGTCTTCACTTTTCAGAAACGGTGGCTGCATTCGCTCCCGATCGTCGAGCGCTCGCTGCCCGAAACGGAGATGGACGGGCGAGTGCTGAAGGCAGTGCGCACGGCTGGTGGAGCCTCGGCGGCCGCTGCAGTGACAGCAGCAGCAGCTGCAGGCGCTGACAACCAGAAGGACGTGATCGTCTGCATGCTATGCGACGACCCTGCATCCAAGCGGGAGCTGACCAAGGTGTGGAGCCGTCTCAACTGCCGTCGTGGACGTATAGAGAATCACTTATTAAGCAAGCACCCGGAGTTCATGCGGTTGCTTAAGCACAAGCGCGAAGCGGAAGGAGATCTAGCCGTGCAAATATTTCTGCAAAACCTTCGGGAAGGCCGTTGTAATGCACGTACCGAGGTCAACAATGGGTTGTACAGCCAACTGACAATTGGTGCTGCTGCGCGCTCAAGTCCTGTTGCGGCTGGTACGACAACGGACAGCGTTGAGCTTCAGAAACGTGCTCTTGGCGAGTACATGAACGTGCGCGACGAGTTAGAGAGCAGCCGAAAGCGTGCAAAACTCTCTGGTTCTCCTGCAAACGCGAAGGATACTGCTGTGATGGCTGCATCGGCGTATTCTGCGGGAGGTATGCTGATACGCTCAAATGGTACAGAAGCTGGTGTGGACGGTTTGGCTTCCAGTGTGCTGTACCAAGATGCAATGTCTGCGCAGTGGCAAACAGTGTTTTTCAACAAATTGGTGCGTGCTCGCAGTGAACCAAGACTTACCCAAACGAATCACTAATGCTTGTCTTGCTGTCGTTATGGTATGATAGGTTGTGGTCACCGGCGGAGACAACAAGGCCATGACGTCAGTAGCGACACAGCTCTGGCTGTTAGGTGCGAACGTGCTGCTCACTTTCAGGTAACTATTTTCTGTTGCTTGGCGCTTGCTGCTTTGGCTCACAATTGATGGCACAGCAACATGTCAGCTTTGGACGAATTCAACACAAAGCATATAGGTCGTTTCCCAGACCCTTCCGAAGGCGAGGAAAGCCCGCGCGGTGTAATGCTGCCCGTGCTAGGGTCATTCCGGACACAGAAAAGCATTGCCGAGTGGTGTGGCTCCATTGCTACCAAGTACCAGCGCGTGGATTTCCTGATTAATTACGCTGGATCCGAGGTAGTGGAGGCTTTGAACGCAGGAGAAAAGCCTCGAGACCCAAGCGAAGAACCCGGCATAATCGCCTCTAGCCCGTACGAATACCTGGTAATCTTGTATTTAACGCCAAACAAACTGACGAAGGAATGCGTGTGGTTTATTGCTGTAGGGCCCTCATCGAAGCTCTAAGTGAGTCAATGTCGTCGACTTGCTTCCCAGATCCTGCAGCAAGCGAAAGCGGCTGGCTAAGTCCCAGCACTGGGACCATCGTGAACATTGCGTCCGCCTTGGATGATGCTGCCGTGGAGCCGTTGATCAAATCTTTAGCTGCCAAGCTTCAGCCACGCAACGTGCAGGTGAATTGCGTGTTGCTGCCGCCGCAGTCTGACGCTACAGACGTCGAGATTCCCCATGACACAGCTACACTGTCGCACACGATTTTGTTCCTGCTGTCGCCATCGAGTCGACTATTGTCAGGCAGCGTACTGCGAGTTCAAAAGGACAAGACGGCGTCAGAGAGGAGAGCAGACGTGCCGTCCGCTGCTGAAGCTGCTGATGTGATCAACTCCCATTCAATTTAAGAAGACCGGCCGGTCTCTAGTGCTGTCTATCTATCCAACATTTCCTTGACGTCTTCGGTCGCCAGCTCATTCACGGACCACGTTGCCTTTGATGCGTATCATGATCCTGTTAACCACGTACCAAAAGTATGGTACACTCCGTTGGCAGAGACATGGCTCGTTTGCGTCATCGAGATTCTCCGAAACGGCCAGGCCGACGAGCGCTACGAATAGCAGGCTGCTAGCCAGCAGTGCTCACCACCTCCAGGCATTGCCGCTCGATCTACTACATACCGACGTATTAGTCTCTATTCTGTTCATCTGTACATGCTTGTTGCGTCGTCATCCGCGCTCTAGAACTCACGCAATCGTCTAGAAAATGAAGGCGATACCTTCTACTTTGCGTCGCTCGAAGCGTATCAACATCTCTAGCAACAGATCCCGCTTCTTTATGGCAGTACCGGATCAACATCCTCCACAGCAACAAGCAGACGCAGCCGTGACGCCTGGAGCCTCGACGTTCGTGAATAACCACAGCCAAACTTCAGCGTCTCGAAAGCCATTGGGGCTCAATTATGGCAGTATCCGCAGGAGCTGGAGAGGGTACATGGACAAATTAGCGCCCTTCCCAAAGCTGCAGCAAGTTGCGCTCGAAGCAGCAAGCTTCTTCACGAAGCCAGAGGAACTGGAGTTCAATTTACCCCGGAATTTTCATGCCAAGTACACGCTTGGAAACAAACTGGGCGAAGGAGCATTTGGAGAAGTGTATTGCGTTCTTCCAATGAAACAAGAGACACGTGGTAGTGAATTGCAATTGGATCTGGCAGTGAAGATCGTACCGAAGTCTCGTGTCGTGAGTCGCAAGGACTACGCAGCGTTGAAACAAGAAGGACGCATGATGGTGTTATTAGGTGGAACGCTGAACGTCGTACACTTCTTCGGAGCGTATGAAGATGATACAAGTGTGTATTTAGTAATGGAGCGTTGTGTCGGTGGAGATGCATCGTCCAGGTTATCCGGAGAGAAGGAGCTGGATCTAACGGCTAACCCCAAGCAAGAAGAGCGAACAAAGATGTACATGAGAGACATCCTCCACGTGGTATGGCAGTGTCATTTACTACGCATTCTACACCGAGATCTCAAGCTCGAGAACTTCTTGTTCGCGGACACCAAAGACGACAGTCCACTCAAATTGACTGACTTCGGCGGAGCAGCTTTCCTGGATGAAGGCCAGTTCTTACACGATGTTCACGGTACTCCACTGTACACAGCACCCGAAGTGCTCAAGCACAAGTACGGTTACCCGTCGGATCTCTGGAGTTGTGGGGTGATTTTGTATCGTCTGTTGAGTGGACGCTTCCCGTTCGAGTCTGGACCGCTCCTGGATGAACGTATTCTACACGAGGAGATTGATCTGGAAAGCCCGCCATGGACTGGTATTTCAGACGAAGCGAAGGAATTAGTGAGCCAATTGTTGGAACGCGATGTGTCTAAACGGTTGACCGCAGAACAAGCACTCAAACATCCATGGCTTGCTCCGAGTGCTCCTTTGTCTGCTGAAGCGTTAACGACAGCTTCGGCTGCTGCTAAAGAGGCTACGAAGGGTATTTCAGGGCCACCACTAAACGGTACACTGGTACAAAGGCTACAACTGTACCGTTCGCTCAACAGTCTGCAACGTGCTGTTCTTAACGAGGTTACTCGGCTGCTGCCTCTTGCGTTAAAGCAAGACGCGCTGGTACTGTTCAGTGAAGTTTCACGTGATGGCAGTGAGAGAGTAGGGCTCGAGGAGTTTGCAGCGTACGTGGCTGCAGGTGGTTATCGCCTTACTAGAGGCGAAGCAAAGGGCTTCCTGCGCAATCTAGATCTGGACGGCAATGGTTTGTTATCTCGCGACGAGTTCTGTGCTGCGTTGCTAGATTGGGCGCAGCTTCAAAGCCAACACCCCGATGATTTTGCAGACTGTGCGAACCAGGTTTTCGACATGGTGGACGAGGATAAGGACGGTCTGCTGACGCTCGAAGACGTGGCCGAGCTGACGCCATTCCAGGAAAGCGGGAAACACTTGCACTCGTTCCGGAACGACCTGGACCGCTGCTTCCAGTACACTGATCGATCGGGCAGAGGCGCTATTGACAAGGAAGATTTCAAACACATGCTGCGCATTCCTGCAGGCGCGTACACTCATTTCCCTCGTCGACTCAGAATCTGAGCTAATAACTAGAAATTTAGAAATGAGGCTTCTGTTTTGAGCACGTGGACAAATTTTCAGTGATGTATTTTTCTCTTAGCATCGACTGCTGATATAAATACATGGCATTTTCTGCGTATAAGGGGGCGAGCAGAGCAGCAGACCTTTGCGGAGCTTCCAAATGACTCGCGTGCTGCTCTCTGCTTCATCTTGTTGCTGCTTTCTCCGTCTATCGGGATGAAGATGTTGAAGAACTTGGTTGAAGAACTTGATTGGGCATGTGGTTGAAGAAGAATGACGAAAACTGTAGACATGTGGAGAGAGATATCTACACGACGATGCTCTTGCCGGCGGCGATGTGTAGGCCAGCCTGGCGCACCGGGCGGTTCAACAGCTGGTTGACTCGATCCAAAGCCACTTGAAGCTTGGAGACTTTGCGCTTCTTGGACTTGTTGCTCTCGGACGGCGTGCTGTAGAATGCCGGCGCTGAGTTGGTGGAGATGTCGCTATCGCTTTCCGCGGCGTGTTCCTCCTTGAGGTTGTTCATGTCCATACTCATGCTGCGTCGCAAACTGGCACTGGAGAGTGTTGTAGACGCCAGCGATCGGTCTGCGGACGACGAAGCGGACGAGAGCTTCCTCTCGGCCGTGAGCTCTTCGGTATCGATACCGCTATCCACGTTTCCGATGACCACGTCGTCTGCGTTCACGAACACGAGACTTACGGGCTTGGGAGCCATGAGCATGACCTTCTTAACGTCCTGTAGTGTGAGACGGTTGACAGGGAAGCCACCTACGAGTCGGAGCTCGCTGCCGACCTTGAGTGTTGTAGCAACTTGCGTCTCCCGCGTCACGGTGCTGACCAGAATAGCGCCTGTGCGTTTGCGCTTGAGCGTGAAGCCCGGTGTTGTGCGGCCGCCCCACATGATCTCAACAGTGCGCGGAGCCGACGCCAGAGGTAGCGAGGCCTCGGACGATGATGTGGAAGAGCACGAGTCGGATTTGTGCAGCGTGCGGCGGCTGCGACGGCTCTTGCTCTTGGTTCTAGAAGCGCGTACAGGTGAGGACGAAGACGCACTGCTGGTCTCCAACTCGTCCATGGAATGCTGCGGTCTCTTGAGACTCATTTGTATCTGATTTCGTTGCGAGTGTGGTGTTGCTGAGTGGTTAGCCACTTGAGAATATGACGAAGCAATGGCTGGCGACTGCCTCACGCGATTCACAGCCACTGCGAGGAATGGAGAATGGAGTCGAGTGGGAACCTGGTGGCGAGCTGTGTCTGGGAAAAGCAGGCGAGCGCACGACGCTCGCAGAAAGGCAACACCTGACTTGTTTTTGCAAGTCAGACCGCCGGCGCAGACCGGGCAGCCCAGACCTGCTGTATCTTATCCCCGGCGATATTACTTCGAGAATGTGTTGTGCTGCAATCGATTCTTCCATAAAGAGGCGACCTCCTATAATGAAACCCTAAACTTGTTTTCTGATTAGACGGAGTAACCTTTGCGGTGCCCGAAACGGCACAAAACCGTCGGTTTGATAGCCATCACTTGGGCAGAGGCCTCTCGAAACAAATTTAGCTTGACTTCGATGGAGCCAAGCACGCAAGCCTAAAATGCAGGCCTGCGAATGGATTAGTGGTGAGTGGCTGTCTGTTGCCGATGTGGTTTTGTTGGTCTTTTCTCTGAATTAAAAGCGTCGATCGACGGTGTATTGCACTTGCGGCGAGTTTGCGCGGCACGAGGAGCAAGATGTGTACCGTACGCTTGCAACGGCTGTGCGAGCCTCACGCTGCAAGTCGCAGCCTGCGAATCGCCATCGCCGCAAAGATAACTCTAAGTTTTTTTTTGTTTTTAAGTCTTCAACTTATCTTGATTCAAGACATTCAGCGAAGCTTTTACCAGCAGAAACACGCGGAGCTCGATTTGCTAAAAGCTCCCCCGCGGCGATCAGCACTGCCCATTTCGAACGTCAAAGTGACGGTCCACTTGCCGTTGGTGCCGTCTCTGTTGGTGCGGGGACGATCGCCATCGTTGTTCTGCGCGGAATCAAGATGAGGCCGAAGACAGGGTACTCGAAGGTCGAGTCTCGAGGGCGTACGCATAGAGTTGAAGTACCAAAGATCGCGATACATGTACACGGGAGAGAGATCGGAGTCGTACGTTTTTCGCTGGTGCAGCTCGTCGCCGAGTACTATTACTAGGTATACATTCGACAGGTTCTTTTTCTAAAGAATCTGGTACACCAGATTCTAGTTCAATGGCGCGAAGTGTTGGGACTGTCAAAGTCGAAGCGAACCTACGGGCATTTCCAGCCAAAGACAACGAGGACAACTTGCCACTTTCTGGCGCGTGAATGCATGAAACCAGGCACACAAAGCCAATCTTCTCGTCCTCCTCGCCATGCGACGTAGGTCATGAGACGACTGCTGACAGCTGAGGACAGGTGACGCCCTGTATCCAAGAACTAATGGATTTTATCCAGGGCTGTAATGTGTATACGAAACAAGTGCTTTGCTGTAAGCTCCAAGATTGCGGCAATTGCTTGAACCGCAACTGTTAGTTTTGTTTTGTTCGCAGCACTGCAGGCAGATCGTCATGTGTAGCAATGGTATGCGATCTCGTCATTTGCCACCAAATAATCTTTGTCATCTATAAGTTCCACGAATCCTGTAACACGGTGCAATTATTTGTAGTGACGCCTCTGCCATCGAAGCGGAACCTGGCGTTAGTGTCTAGCGGGACGCATTATCCCGCTTAAAGCCAACATGTGTGGTGCTGAGATGGTGTTGAGATTTCTATAATGAGTCCAAGCCTCTCACGGGAGATCAGTTGCTCTGTACATAGTGGCCACCGAAGATGTACATGATGCACTGTGTGCATGTACTCCCTGCAGAATCTCCAGAAGAACGTATTGCCAGTGAGCTTTGATAGCGAGGCCCACGCTACCTTACTGTCCAGCAAAGGACATGCTTTTTCCAAGCTGAGCGACCAACATATCGATTTGTTTGTTGGCGTGGCGAAATTCGCTACGCTCGCTTATCGCCAAGACGTTGATCAATGCACGAACATGGACAAACACGCTGGCGGTCAACGCAGCAACATGGGACAGATACGCTGTCAATCGAATGCAGTATTAATTTCGACGTGTTGCGAAGATCGAATGAATGGTTACACAGCGTTAGCGACTTTGTGTGGTTTCTCAAGGTCGCTCAACACACGTAAAAGTACTTGGAAGTACAACCTGGAAGCTTCCTTTTAACGGGAAACAAGCTCGAGCAAATGCAACGGGAACTGTCTACATAAACTCTTGACACATGAGAGCCACTTTGCTGATCTAAGTCTGCGTGGCAACGTCGAAGGATTCGTACTTTAGAGCTTACCAAAAAGGTGTTTTTTAATAAACCTACAGATTACGCATTTGTACCTTCTCTCCCGATATTTATTGGTGTGGGCCACACTGAGCGTAACCCCGTTTTTCTTTGCGGCAGACTCATTAGACAGACCCGCACGCCTGCCGGCACGTAACGAAGCTGTGAGCTCGACCCCACTCCTAGCGCGTAACAGGTTTCCCCCCGTCCGCTCTAGACCATGAGCGACATCCCCATTCAGCTGGGCCACTATCGCCTGGGCAAGACTCTCGGGATCGGCTCCTTCGGCAAAGTAAAGCGTGCGTTTTGTCATCTCTTTTGCCATTTTTTGCCGTTTGTGTAGGTAACTTTGTCACTTCGACGCTGGCAAGAAAATCTGACACATTTCACCACTGACACGTAGTGGCCGAGCATGACATCACAGGCCACAAAGTGGCCATCAAGATTCTTAACCGCAACAAGATCCGCAGTCTCGACATGAGCGAAAAGGTGCGACGCGAGATCACACTACTGCGCAAGATGCGCCATCCACACATTATCCGCCTGTACGTCAGCCCCCTCCTCGTGCTACATTTTCTTGCGATGAAGTTAACGGTGTTTTGCCATTTTTTTAATAGATACGAGGTGATCGACACGCCTACGGACATTTTCATGGTGCTCGAGTACATTGCAGGCGGCGAACTCTTCGACTATATCGTGTCTAAAGGCCGGGTACGTTGGTTAAATATTTTTTTCATTATTTTTTCAGGTTTTTATTTATTATTTTTGTAGTTGGCACCGGAAGAAGCGCGACATTTTTTCCACCAGATCATCTCGGGAGTGGAGTATTGCCATTTCCACCGTATTGTACACCGAGACTTGAAGCCCGAGAACTTGCTGCTGGATGCCGACAATAATATCAAGATCGCAGACTTTGGACTGTCCAACAGCATGGAGGACGGAGATTTTCTGCGCACGTCGTGTGGCTCACCCAACTACGCAGCGCCCGAGGTGATCTCTGGCAGTCTGTACGCTGGTCCTGAGGTGGATGTGTGGTCCTGTGGCGTCATTCTGTACGCGCTGCTGTGTGGCAGCTTACCGTTCGATGACGAGAGCATCCCCAACCTGTTCAAGAAGATCCGTGGCGGGATGTACTCGCTGCCCAGCCACTTGTCCGAGATGGCGCGCGACCTCATCCCGCGCATGCTCGTGGTGGACCCCATGAAGCGTATCACGATCCCGGAGATCCGACAGCATCCCTGGTTCCAGATCGACCTCCCGCCGTACCTGCAACATCCTCCTGAAATTGTGGAGAACCAGGTATTTTTTTCCTATTATTTCTTTATAAATATTTGACGTTTGGATTAATTGCTGTATTTTTTTTAACATTGCAGACTTTCAAGATTGACGACGAGTGTCTGTCGCAGTGCTTGGCACTGAACTACGCCGCAAATATCGGACATGACCAGCTGGTAGCGCTGCTCACGAGGCGAGAGAACCATCCGCTTCGAGTGGCCTACGAGCTGATTTTAGACCACAAGAACGCCAAGATCCGAATCGATGGTGCATTTTTAGTCCGGATTTGTGCATTTGTGACTGTGTTGAGCTAACGAATTTGTGTTTTTGTATGCAGAGCTGCGTGATGTGCGGACGGTGAATAACAAACCCAAGACGTTCTCAACACCCGAGCCTAGCACGCTGCTACTGCCTGGACGGGGACCTCTTCCCATGGCAGCCTCGCCATTGATCACGCCGTCGTCAGCGCTACCAGATCCCCGGAATTTCGGTGGTCGCGGGATAAATATTCCAGGACAAGCGCCAAGAATGTCAACAGGAGGCAGCGGAATGCCTGGCTTTGAAGACGGTCACGGAGGCGCAGCTCCTACGCCCAAGCGACGACGATGGTACCTGGGTATTCAGTCCAAGAAGGAGCCGGCTCACGTCATGTCGGAGGTGTACAAGGCGCTCTTTGTGCTCCACTTTGAGTGGAAAGTGGTGGCGCCATACCGCGTAAAGTGTCGATGGCAATCGCCCACAGGAGACCCCAACGGAGGCGCCGTCATGAACCCAGAGGAGGCCAAACTGCAACAACAGATGCAACGTATCAAGATCGGCCTGCAGTTGTACAAGGTACAGCAACACATCTACCTCCTGGACTTCCAGCGTCTGGACGGCAATGCGTTCACGTACATGAATCTCTGCGCTCGCATCATTACGGAGCTCAAAACGCTCTCGGGTATCCGGCCGCTGGCCAACCACGACCCGCGCTTCGGTGATGGGAACATGAACTCGGTGCACTTGCACCAGCACAACGCACACGTCCAGGGCGCCCAGTGAACGTGTGACCTTGAGATACGTACGAACCAACGAGCTAGTGCTACACTGTCACCTTTTGGCTGCATGTTTTGTAGGTTGACACGAAGAACGCGGACCAGATTAAAAAATTCCAGGACTGAATCACGTTATCTCTTGTTACTCGTTACATTCTGACAGCACTCGAGGCTCGATGTTGACTGCAAGCAGGTCGCGACGTGCACATTTGGCTTGACGGAATAGACACTCGTTCCCGTATAGCTGGCCGTTGGAAGCGCAAACTGGACTGTACGTTTGCGTGCAAGTAGCTGGACATAGCGGCATCACATTGGTGTCTTCGCATGATCCGGAACGGATCAGCATTGTGTTCTGGTTGCAGCGTTGCTGTCGTCTGAAGTAGCACAAGTTCTGCATTGTGCCTGCACTCGTACAGACCGGATCTAGTACATCCGCACACGTGCTTGTGTCCAAGCAATCGCTCGTACTGGGACGTGGTACTGGTGGGTTATACTGTGCGTTGAGAGCTTTTTCACTTTCACAAAGACCACGAGACACTACGTGGAGATCCGAGTTGCCAGTAGAACATCGAGCTTCCTTGAGAAAGCACGAGTTTGCATAGGATACGTTGTCGGAGCCGCAGACTGGGGAGCTTATGAGTTGGCAGTTGAGTTTACATGCTGTCGAGGTGGTCATGTTAATGACGGATTGTTTAGGTTCGCAGACAGCTTGGGGTATGCATGGATCGCTTGTACAGGGCACCACACCTCGTAAGATGCACGTCTCATTGTCGTTGCATCGGCCTGGAGCGCACAGTGGCGCGCAATACTCGGCGTTGTTGTACACAAAACATTGCTCATACTCGCCACACACACGGGAACAGCTTGTTGGTAGAGTAGCTGCGTTAGATAGACACAAACGCAGTAAAATACATTCAAGTAGTAGTAGATTACTCTTCATGACACCAGGATCTTTACTAGCAAACCGATGGGCTAAAATTGGTGACTGAATTGTGTTTTTAGTCCCGTTTGGCCATAGTAATAGACGACATAAAATTGTTTGATGCACAAAGTTGTTGGAGCATCTCGAGTTGTTGACGCTGCATGGCCTCCAGTCGCTTATTGGACTCCATGATAGCGTCAAGCTTTGCAATGCTTTCTTCTTTATCACTCTGTCGTCGCTCTGGCAAGATGGAACCACGTCGAGTTGTGTCACTCGAGACCACTTCCTCTGTCTTTAGTCTCTTTGGTGATGCAGAATCTTCAGCTTCTCTTAGTATCTCGCGCTTGTGTTGAGACTCACGCTTCTTCTCAATAACTTCCTTAGACGGTGAGCTACTAGGCGACTCGTTATCCCCATTAGATGAAAACTTTTCATCCTCTGTGCCCGAGTCTTCTTGTTGGGCGGCTGGTGCTCGACCGGATAACACGGGATGTCTCTCTTTAAATCTACGTAGCCATCCGTCCTTGAGTTTCTCACCAGTTTTTCCAGTTAACGCGCGATAGTGCTCGTTCGCTCGGGCTAGAATGTCCTTCTTAGTGACTTTTGTGCCTCGACTTTGCATGTCCAGAATCCAGTTTACCAATTCTTGTTCTGGTTCTCCTTCTAGGAGTGGTCTCGGCCCTCTTCTCTTATCAACTTCTCCTCGTTGTACACGCAACACCCGACGACGAATGGTTCGTTGATGCAGCAGTGGGAAGCGCTGTGTCACCTCGCTCATTGGTCTCCCTGCTAGATACATCTCGACGGCCGCCTCCATATGCTTCCTATTGTATTTCCTGGTCTTGGTAGGACCATCTGCATCTCGTATGGTATCGGGCTGCTTTGCAGCTTCGAGTGTCTTAAATTTTCCCTCTTCATGTGCTGCACCAGGCACAATAGACTCGCTTATCGCATTTTTTGCAATAGATTCCTCGTTTGTAGCAGGAACTGCTTGCTGTGAGCCTCCGGAGCGCAAACTGAGCTCTGGATATCTCGCTATGAAGCGGTTGCACCAGCCCATACCAAGCTTTTGCGTTGGTTTGGTATCCTGTTCGTGTTGAGGTGGAGTTTCGTCTTGTCGAAGTATTTCTTGGGCCTGCGCGATGACGTCGTCGCGTGACATGCGCTGTCCTGCACTCTGCTGCGCTAGCACCCACTGCACAAGCTGCGTCTCGTGCTCCACCGAAAGCAGCGGCTTGGGACCGCGTCGACGCATGACGGAGACACCATCAGTACGCTGCATAATGATCGAAACTACGATGTGATCGTAAAAATCGTGACTTGATATTGTGATATTTATCTGATATTTCCATAATTGTAAATCCGTTGTAAATCTGATGTAAATTACAACTAATTGCAAAATGTGGCATAAATTCCCCAAACTACTGGAATTGAAAGGAAAAAAAAGAAGAAAAATAAGCACGCGAACATTTAAATTTCTTTAGCTACGACACTATCGTGGATACAAGTATACACGCGTTGGATCTACTCGAAGTACGAGGGTGATCTGGTGCGATTTTCAAACACTCATCCGTTCATACATGTATAAGTGTAGAACTCCTACAGTTGAAAACTCAGAAATTGTAGTTGCGCTTCTTGTACTCCAGTACTCGACGCAGCAGCCAGCCGTCAGTGCCCCTCACGCTCGAAGAGGTCATGGCGTCCATGAGGCAAGGCTTGAAGTTATCAGGCTTGGGCTGCTGGTAGAAATCCGGGAGGCCAAAACCGTGACCCATTTCGTGCGAGACAATCTCGAGTTCGTCGTCGTCAAGGTGCTCCAGCATATCGTCAAGGTTCACCTGCTGACCCCAGTAGGTTCCCCAGCCACCACCCAGGCCTTGTTTGGGCCATAGCGAGATATCAAAAGGTTTGCCTTCGCACCCACTGGACTCCGACCATCCTCCGGGTGATCCATCCACCGATCGATAGCAGTTCTCGGGACATTGAGGGGCGCCGTCCTTGTCCAGGTCGCCAATGTAGAGCTTTCCCATCGAGCTATCCGACCATCCCAAGTCCGAGGCTGTCTTCGCAGCAAAGCCCACAATGTTCACCTTGATCTCGTCGAACGGCCAGCAGTCGTAGCCGATCAACCAGCGGTTCCACGCAGCGTGTTGACGCGTCAACATAGGCTGGAGCTTCTGGGCAATCTCTTTGGTGAGCTTGGTGGTGCTGCTATCCCAGCGGATGCAGTAGTTGATTGTACCTTTATTGGCCACAAGATGGTCCATGATCCAGTTATTGTACGGCTCCACCTCGCTCTTCATCCGGTTGTTCCAGATCCACGTAAGGTCTTCGGCAGAAATATACGTGTCTGGATCGCTGACAACGCACTCGCCGGATTTGGACTTGATGGTTCCGAACGTGGCGTGTCCGCTACTGCTAGTGTTACTGGATGTTTGAGCTGCAGGCAGTTCCTCTTGCTGACCTGTTGTACTGGATGAAGATGTCGGTATGTTGGAGGATGAAGCTGTTGAAGTGAACTGTGTCTGCAACGAGTCTCCTTCTTCACCGAAACTACTGGAAGCCGTCGTTGGCTCCGTTCTCAAAGAAGATGTCGTCTCTGGAGCAGAGTTTTCGTATTCGCCCGCTTGCGAGACGGCCGTATCCGATGAAGAAGTCGATGGTGGCGACGGTGACAAGCTTTGGTCACTAGTCTCACTAGACGGGGCTGCAGTCGTGGGCGTTGTTTCCGAGGTATCGGAAGGCGTAGCTGGTGTAGAAGTCTCTTCTTCATCCGATCCGCTGCATTCCAGACTACCGGTGAAGAGATCCTCGTCCGAACCACTGCATTCGAGACTTACATCCATTCCAGGAGGACCGTTGTCCTGGTCATCAAATCCATTCGACGGTGACCAGCTTTGGCCTCCCATTCCACTCGATTGCCCACTTGGGTTCCAGACTTGGCTCTCGCTATCACCAGTCCACACAGAAGGAGAGCCTGTCGCTGGTTGAGACCATCCCTGATAGCCACTTCCACTGGTGGTCATCACGTTGTTTGAAGACGCCGTCTGCACCCACTGATTGGTGTCTCCGAAGTTCTCAAAGCCCCCGGCCCCAGGAGTGAAAGACGAAGCTTGCGTCTCGCCTCCAGGGGCAACGGTACCAGCGGTTTGCGCGACATCATTCTCGCCACCAAAATCAATTGCAAGGGGCGTTGTAACCAAGGAAGCCGCGACGACCACAGCAGACAACCGAATTGGTGGCATCGTAAGAATTGGCGAAGAAGCGATAATGACCCGGTGTAGTCCCAGTAGACGAACGAAGACCACATCACATGGAGAGATCCGATCGATGTTGTGCACCTTTGGCCGAACGGTGAAAGCAGAAAACCTCGGTATGTAAAAGTGCCCACAGTACTGGATATCACTGTTGATACAGACTATAAAAGTCTCGCACTGCTTCGCGTACGTTTTGTTACCGGTAACCCACGATCACTCCTCTACTGTGCGTACACGCTCGGGATGGGGTATACGCGAATTTGTTTGAACATACTTTCGTTTTTAGTGAATACGTGTACACGTTCCCTACCCACGCTGTTGTCAAATTCACACCCATCCGCCACAGTGGCGCTGAAGTTCGTAGATCACGACAGTCGTGACGACTACACCTGCATTCTAACCTAAAAGACGTCTGTAGCAGCATACAAATATTACGTGGTCGGCACTCTTGGGTTTGCCGCCCTGTATCCGCGAGGCGAACGATGGCTATGTAGGATAGGCTGTCGACGACCGTTGTGCAAGACTCCTTCTTTACAAAACAGCACATGCTATTACACCACGTGCCGACGCTTTTTGTGTGAGTCAGGGTTTTCATCCAGCAAATCTTTCTCTGAGACTGGGACGTTGGGACGACAGCTTTTGTGGCTCTATCGAGTCATCACAAACACAAACACAAGATCACTCTCAACACCCTTCAGCAAGCGAAGACGTCGGGTATCGCCACAGGATAGAGTCGAAAGAGGGATGCCCTGAAAATGAGAAATTTTATGTTTACCATGCGAGGGGTGGACATGTACGCAAGTTGCGTGAGCCCAACAGCGTAATGACCTCGCGGTAGCTTAAGAGCATATTGTCATCGCTAGTGCTTCTTACTAAGGAATGCTTTGTCCTTAAAGCAACTGGAGAAGATGAGCCAAATGAGACGCGATGGCCTCTAACGTGAATAATTGAGCAATAAATCCGATGCCACACCGGTCTTGATGTGATGACAGTGAAGTACTGACACAAAGTACAGTTTCGCGCCGTAGTGCTTGTCCGAAAACCTATCAGTGATGTACCTTCAGGTACACGATAGACGCCTCATGCGAATACACTACAAGTAGCACTTTTAAATTAAAAACCGAGATGACCCTCGTGCACAATACAAAACGACCGTCAAACCTCAACGATGCATGACTCGTTTGTTCCGCAAAAGCAGCAGATATATGCTCACGCATAGACCCCGTGCGTGAGTACGCCAGGGGGTCGTCTATCGAAAGTTGTGGGACTGGCAGCGCTGCGCTGGATCTGTGCACTGTCGGTTTTGGTAGGCTGCTCACGTTCTCGAGGATGTCTTCAGTTGTTGTGTCTTCGGGCCTTGGCCAGATGCGTTCCAACATTTTGAGACATCAGTATGCAGCATTGCTACACTAAAAGCCGACTCTTAATCATACATGTAGAATTTTCAAAGCCATATTGAATGAGAGGGCAAGAACAATGAGAAACGTAGTCTTTTTTTTAGAAAAGAAATATATCACAGTTAATTACTTCAAAGTACTAAGTATTGAAGACTAGCATTGCATCTGCCTAACGGAACTCGATGAATGTGCACCTTCGAAGCAGGAATACGATTATCGCGGCAGTACCCTCACATCAATGTATTACCGCTTATTTGGGAAGATGCTACATCACGTAAAATTGTACTTCAGTGAAGTATCTGAATGGCCTGACCACGCGGTCGCTCCTGCTGTTACCCGATAACTGCATTCGTAAGATGCGTAACTACACTTCAAACAGCAAATGACTTCCACGCCGCCTGGAGTGGCCACATGGACAAGGGGACCTCGCAGATGGAAGTAAGTCGTTCTGTTGTTGGAACAATGAAGTGTAAGGAGTGCTCCAAACCTTGATGTCGAGTTTCACCGTATGGAGCTGAAGCAGAACTCGACGCCGCACAAACCGGATCACACATGACAAACTCGTCATTGAGGTGACACTTGCTAGTGTTCCTCATTATTCAATTGTCCACCATGGCACCAAGTCTTCTGTCGAGCTTCTCCGCGGTCATTCTCGCAACCACATTGGCTACCGCGCCTACTGAGGCCGCGTCAACCAACAGCAGCGCCTCGCACGCACCGTTCGGAACTATCACGTCCAAGCCTGGCGAGTGCGTTGTCGGCAACCCCAACACGTATATCTCCGCTGAAGACCTTACGTGGATCTGGAACAACCGAATGAAGAGCGACGTGGAGCCATACAACAACTGGATCATGGACCACCTCGTCAAGAACAAAGGTTCCATCAATTACTGCATCCGCTGGGACAGTAACAAGAAATTGACCAAGGAAATTGCGGCCAAGCTCCAGCCCATGTTGACCCGCCAGCACGCTGCGTGGAACCGCTGGCTTATCGGGTATGACTGCTGGCCGTACAACGAGATCAAGGTCAACGTCGTGGGTATTGCCGTCAAGGACAAGTCTGTGCTGGGTTGGAATGACGACTCGCTCGGTAAGGTTTACGTCGGTGACCTGGACGATAAGGGTTCTCCGCAGTGCCCCGAGAACTGCTATCGTGGTGCTGATAGCTACTCTGGCAAGTGGTCGGAGTCGAGTGGATGTGATGGCAAGCCATTCGATGTCTCCCTGTGGCCGACGCAGGGTCTTGGTGGTGGCTGGGGAACGTACTGGGGCCAGCAGGTGGACCTCGACGACATGTTGCAGCACCTCGATGACGACGAACTCGAGATTGTATCGCACGAAATGGGCCACGGCTTTGGCCTCCCGGATTTCTACCAGCAGCCCAAGCCTGATAACTTCAAACCTTGTCTCATGGATGCCATGACCTCTTCGACGGTGAGGGACACTGACGGCTGGCTGCTGCGTCGCGTGCTGGAGAGCAAGAAGCACAACTACGACTTTTAGGTTTCCTACAAATCTATGGTATTGTAGAGAAGAGAATGTTGCTAGCAATGTTCTAGATTCATGTTGGTCGTTCACAAAATAACTTGGATGGATGTTTATCAGACATTTGCCGATTGTACGTCAGTGTTTTAAATCAGCGGAAGCGCAGCGGGGTCTGTTTCTAGTATTATTGAAGCGTTTGGATCCTTGTCAAAATGCACGACAGGTCGTCGATAACGACGAGTACTATGTAGTTATTGCAAGTGACATCGGAGCACATCGTTGCCGAAGAACAAGAGTAAATCGATCTGTGCACTGTGCAATGAAGGTGGTTTGAGCCAAACAATAATTCTGCCGGGATAGAAGCTCAGCATCAGCCAAGCTTTCACGTCCACAATGCCCCCAATCGATGGTGCACCTCAGTCCGACTCCATGAGTTGCTGGTTGCTGTCCAAGCAAGAAAACATATACCACTGTGATGTGCCCTTTTGCATTGGAAACTACGACTTGACAAACATCAAGCATCCTCAGCGCAGTTGTCCCTGCTGTTAATCCATAACGTTTGTGCCACGAGAACACAATCTCCAAGGATTCGTATTGTTGCCATAATACTCATCATGACTATTTTCACGTAAAAACGATCATGTAAGAGCGATCACCACTGAGTCAGCCACGGCCCCTAAATAGGCGTTCACTCTTCAATTGTCCAAGATGACACCAAGTCTTCGTTCAAGAATCTCCGCGGTCACTATCGCTTCAGCACTGGCCGTCGCGCAAAGTGACGCAGCAGCAAAAGCGTCTCACGCCCCGTTTGGAACCATCACGTCCAAGCCTGGAGAGTGCGTCGTCGGAGATCCCGACACGTACATATCTCCAGAAGACCTCCAGTGGATCTGGGATAACCGTCTCAAGCACGACGCAACGACGTATAACAATTGGATCATCGATGACCTCGTGGCCAACAATGGTACCATCAACTACTGCGTCCGCTGGGACAGCAGTACCACCAAGCTCACCAAGGAGGTTGCAGCGAAGCTTGAGCCGATGTTGGCTCGCCAACATGCTGCGTGGAACCGCTGGCTGATCGGCTACGACTGCTGGCCGTTCGACGAGATCAAGGTCAAAGTCGTCGGCTTCGCAGCGAAAGACGCTTCGATCCTTGACTGGGATGATGACTCGCTGGGCAAGATCTACATTGGCGACCTCGATGAGAAGGGATCGCCTCAGTGTCCGCACAAATGCTACCGTGCGGTGGACGAATTCCTCAACGGGTGGTCGGAGTCCAGTGGGTGTGAGACCGAACCGTTCGATGTCTCGCTGTGGCCTACGCAGGGCATTGGCGGCGGCCTGGGCAACTACTGGGGCCAGCAGGTGGACCTCGACAACATGCTCGAGCACCTTGACGACGAGGAACTAGAAATTGTGTCTCACGAAATGGGCCACGGCTTCGCTCTCCCCGATTTCTACCAAGAGGCTAAGCCAGCCAATTTCAAGCCGTGTCTCATGGACGCGACTACTTCGTCAACGGTGAGAGACACGGACGGCTGGCTGCTGCGTCGAGTGCTGGAGTACAAGAAGCGCAACTACAATTTCTGAGTTTCAACTGTAGGAGTTCTACACTTATACATGTATGAACGGATGAGTGTTTGAAAATCGCACCAGATCACCCTCGTACTTCGAGTAGATTCAACGCGTGGATACTTGTATCCTCGATAGTGTCGTAGCTAAAGAAATTTAAATGTTCACGTGCTTATTTTTCTTCTTGTTTTTTTTTCCTTTCAATTCCAGTAGTTTGGGGAATTTATGCCACATTTTGCAATTAGTTGTAATTTACATCAGATTTACAACGGATTTACAATTATGGAAATATCAGATAAATATCACAATATCAAGTCACGATTTTTACGATCACATCGTAGTTTCGATCATTATGCAGCGTACTGATGGTGTCTCCGTCATGCGTCGACGCGGTCCCAAGCCGCTGCTTTCGGTGGAGCACGAGACGCAGCTTGTGCAGTGGGTGCTAGAGCAGCAGAGTGCAGGACAGCGCGTGTCACGCGACGACGTCATCGCGCAGGCCCAAGAAATACTTCGACAAGACGAAACTCCACCTCAACATGAACAGGATACCAAGCCAACGCAAAAGCTTGGTATGGGCTGGTGCAACCGCTTCATAGCGAGATATTCAGAGCTCAGTTTGCGCTCCGAAGGTTCACATGTTTGGCCACTACGTGTTAGTGGTGAAATGTGTCAGATTTCCTTGGCAGCGTCGAAGTGGCAAAGCTACTACACAAACGGACAAACGGCAAAAAAATTGCAAAAGAGATGACAAACGCACGCTTTACTTTGGCGAAGGAGCCGATTCCGAGAGTCTTGCCCAGACGATAGTGACGAGCTGAATGGGGATGTCGCTTATGGTCTAGAGCGGACGGGGGGGGGGGGAAACCTGTTACGCGCTAGGAGTGGGGTCGAGCTCACAGCTTCGTTACGAGCCGGCAGGCGTGCGGGTCTGTCTAATGAGCCTGCCGCAAAGAAAAACGGGGTTTACGCTCAGTGTGGCCCAGACTAATTAATATCTTGTCGGAGATTCTCTCTCTGGTGTCTTTTGCCAACGTCCTCAGTTACATAGTTGAAGGATCCCAACAGTACTGTAGTTATTTATAATGTATGTAGGATCAATGAGGTCGCTGCTTGCCGAGGAGAGACTTTGCCACTTCCGAAAGTTCATCTACCTCGCCAAGCTCCAACCAAGATCCCGGAGGCATTCGCCCCGCCATCCCGCGTTTAAGTCTTCTTTCTGTGCTACGAAATGCTTAACATTCGACAGGTTATGAGCCCAAACAGGGCGACGACATCTCGTATCCGGGAAGGGTCGAGGACTGCTGGCTCTGATGACGACGCTAGTCACTCCAGTGACCGTGGTTCAGGTGGTCATGATGACAGTGATGACTCATCATCATCATCGTCATCGTCAGAGTCTTCATCGTCATCTACGAGTGATCCATCGGTAGGATCAGACCGTGCCGACTCAGACTCAGGTGGTTCAGAGTCTTCTGGTGGCTCTTATTCGAAGGAAGAACGCTCGAAGAGACGCAAGAGTCCTAAACGAAGACTGTCTAAGAAGAAGAAGTCGTCCAAGAAACACAAGAGGAGAAGAATCGAGCTACGGGATACTCCAGGTTTGGAGATCCCCAAATTGACTGGAGCTGATGACTACGAGCTGTGGCGTACCATGGTGGAGTTGAAGCTAAAGGTTCTGAAATTGTGGTCTCTGGTTACGGAGAAAACGGTACTGGATGACCCATGGAGCTCGTCAAAGAAGCGGCACTGGAGCGAGCGTTGGCTCAAAGCCCAGGCCGTCATCGCTAGTTCGCTTGGACCGCGTCTTGCTGGTCGGTACAGACGTCTACTTGTCAACTGTGATCCTGTAATGCTGTTCCAGGAGATGGAAAAGGAGTACAATGCCGGCAGTGCTGCTAAGAATGACATCCTGATTAAGGCGGCTATGTTCGTCCGGAAGTTGGCAAAAGATGAGCGCGTTGACACATACATTGACTCAATCATGAAACTTCAAGAAGATTTGGTGACTTTGGGGCACCCCATAGACGAGGCGGAGCTGGCCCGCCTACTTCTGACAAATGCTCTCGAAGTATTCCCAGATCTGAGTAATGAGTTGGTGGCTGCAAGAATGAAGGGGGATGAGCTGGAAGTCGGTAAAGTTCGCGGCCGACTGTTGGCACGAGAACAAGAAGAAACAATGCGAGGCTTTCGACTGGATGCAGCTCGAGTGGTGTCAAGCGCCGCTGCTGCCGCTGGAGCCCCGGTATTTCAGTTGTCAGGCGCACAGCATCCCGGCAATAGAGGATCTCAACGTCACAATAACAATCGAAACCAACGTGGTCGTCGCTATTCGCTTCAGGAAGCAAAGCAACGCCGCCCCTGTTCGAATAGTGGTAAGTTTGGACACTGGCATAAAGAGTGCAGGAAGCGCAGCAACAAGGGTGACGCTCAAAGCCCTGAGAGTAAGCAGAAGACTGGCGGTCAAGCTAAGTCCGGTCCGTCGTCGTTTATGGCATCGACTACTGAAACTCAGCGGAAGCCGCGTGAAGATGTGTTGGAATGGTGTCTTGATAGTGCTGCCACAGTTAACATCTGTAACGATCTCTCCTGCTTTGTGGATATTACGACGATAAGTGATGGTCCGGTAATGTCGTGCGCTAGTGGAAACTTAGTGAGTCTCAATCAAATTGGAACAGTGGAGTTGACTGTAGAGAATGAGCTGGCAAAGCGTCCTGAGAAACGTCTTCTCACAGACGTCTACTACGTCCCTGACGCTCCAGCCAATTTGATCTCCCAAGACTACATGCAGACGAATCTAAAGTACTTCGTTTCAATGCCCGGCGACCAGTCAACTTGCCTCGTGGACAAGCTTGGCATGCGAATTCGGTTTATCAAGGTCAATGGATTATATCGCTTGTGGTCGTCACGTCAGAAGCCGCCAGTCGTGTACAGTGCAATTATGAAACCCAAGAAAAATTTACCTTTGACCATATGGCACATGCGGTTTGCGCATGCGAGTGAAGCTACGATCTCGGAAATGACGAAGAAGGAGGTTGTCAACGGATTGAAGATCGACAAGAGCGGTCCTGTCAGTTCACATGCGTGTCTACCATGCATTCATGGAAAAACAGTTCGAATGACGTACCATAAATGGATACACACCACAGGAAAACGGCGTCGTCGAGCGAACGAATGGCATCGTTCTATCAAAGGTTAGAGCTCTTTTGCATATGGCTAATTTGCTAGAGTTACTGTGGGGAGAAGCAGCACTTCACGTGGTGTATACACTGAATGTGGCAGCAACGCGAGTGCTGAGTGGTATGACTCCACATGAGAAACTAAGTGGTGAAAAACCTGACGTATCGTGCCCGAGAACTTGGGGGAGTATCTGTTACTACCATATTGCCAGTGGATCGCGCTCAAAGAAGAAGAAGTTGTCTTCAAGAGTGGGTACTTCCATCCTGATTGGTTATTCTCCAAAGACTCACGGCTACAAAGTTCTGGATTTATCGACTGGAGCAGTATCAGCTCATCGAGGTGGAAATTTGGTGTTTGCAGAAGACTACACTGTTGGTCGTTCGTGCGTGGAGTTACTGTTGGCAAATGCATATCAGCATGGAGATCATGGCCTTCCCTCTCGAGCATCTCTAGTTCCTACGCTGATGCAGATTGATGACGTGGTTAAGTTAGATGCTGTCAACGAGAGTGTGTTAGTACAGCCTGCGACAACTGACCAAGTTTTGCAGGCACCACAGCCCTCTATCGGAAAAGATCAAGACGTTCTTGTGAATTCCAGTCGCTCTGTAGCAGTACCGGTTTCTCAAGACACTACTTCAGGTGAAAGTGATACAGTCGGAAGACATCCTGTCTCGAGTTCCGGTCGAAAAAGAAAGCGGAGCTCTCCGCTGGACAATTGTGAAGTGCACTATACGAACAAGTTGGTTAAAGCTCTACTGTGCTCACTTAAACAGCCTAAAACTCATCAGCTGCACTCACGTGATGTACCGATACCGGCGACGTACAAACAAGCTATTCGTTCCAAATATGCAGCTCATTGGCAAGCGGCAATGGAAGAGGAGCTGGATTCGTTGCGGCAACATGGTGTGTGGCAGGTGGTCATCAGAGCTAAAGCTGGGAAAGCTGTGGTGATAACGAACAAGTGGGTATTTGCAGTGAAGAAGGACGAGCTTGGTTTTGTGAAGCGATTTAACGCTCGACTCGTCATTCACGGCTTCAAACAGAAATTCGGTGTGAACTACAATGAGACTTTTGCGCCGGTCATCCGTTTCGACACGATCCGAGTGGCGATTTACTTTGCGGTACAACGAGGTTGGGAAATTTTGCAGTATGACGCGAAAACAGCTTTTCTACATGGCAAGTTGTCCGAGTTGGTCTTCATGGAGCTCCCTCAAGGCAGTGGTTTTCCAGGAAACCAGAAAATTTGTCAGTTGATTAAGTCTCTTTATGGTCTTAAGCAAGCTCCACATGTCTGGAACAAGACGCTGCATCGACACTTAGTAGCCCTCGGATTTGTGCGACTGGAAAGTGACCATGGTCTCTACGCTCTCCACGAGAAGGGGGAGATAGTGATGCTCCTCACTGTCTACGTCGATGACTTACTTCTGATGGGCGAGAAGAAGTACTGTGAAGAAATTGCCTGAAAATTAGCCTCAAGTTTCGAGTTGGTGGGACCCGTTAAGTATCTTCTTGGAGTTGAAGTTACAGTTGATCGAGAGCAGAAACTGGTGTTCTTCAGTCAAGCAAGCTGCATTGACGAAGTTTTACGCAGGTTTCACATGCACGACTGTCGTGGAATTTCTACACCTGAGTCGACAACACCTGTGTGGTGAAGCACCAGTTGGCTTTCACGAATAAGAAAACTGATTGATGGGAAGCGACCCGATCCAGCCCTGAGACTCATGGTCGACGACGGTGCGTCAATGATTACGTCATCATCGGTGAAGATTACGCAATCATCGGAGTGGATCGACATGGTGCAATCATTTGGGTACACGATCGACCGACAAGGACACGATCCACTGATGACACATCATCTGATTTGTACCCACGGCTAGTACCACGCGACCAGGCTACAGAGGGGATAGAAAGGACATCATAGGATGG